CCCACAAAAAAAAAATAAACTTCAAAAAAAAAAAAAAAAAAAAAAAAAAAAAAAAAAAAAAAATTTTAATTTACTTACTTTCTTTCTTTTATAAGTCCCTGACATTAAAAACAAAATTATCATTTTTTTTTTTTTAATAAAATGTGTATAGTATTCGTTTTTTTTTTTATTCAACCCGAGACAGCATTATCTGATGACGTACTTCAAAAAAAAAAAAAAAATTTTTTCATCTGAATGTCAAGAATGTTATCCTTCTTAATTTGGCATTAGAGATTATTGTATTTTTTTTTCACATATGCATTATATACTATTTCTTCTTAAGACTTGAAAACTCATTTTAAGATTTTTTTTTCCTATATATAAATAAAAAAAAAAAAAAAAGAAGAAAAACTCATAAAATGTCTTTAGATAAAACCTCCTAAATGAATCTTGACCTTGAAAATATGAACAATAATCTTTCTCAAGAAAATTTTACACCCATTTTTAATGATAATGATGATTCTTTGTCTATTATAGATTTATATCTAGATAATTAGTCCATAACAGAAACAAGTGCTAGAGATATAGCAGAAACTAGTGCTAGAGGTGTAGCAGAAACTAATAATGAAGACCAAGAACAAGCTACTGAAGAACACGAACAGTACTCAGAAGAACAAGAACAACGTTCTCTGAAATGACAAAGAATTATACATCCTTTCTGAACCTATTTTAGCTGGTCTGCAGACAAGAAGTTTGCTTTTTGTAATTTATGTCACATCCAGTATAGTAAAACCACTGGAATCAGCACAATTAAACGCCATTTTGAAACTCACCATAAAAGAGACTATGATAGACTCCAGTCAACATTAGGAATGTGAAATGTTGAACTTTATGGTTCTCGTGATGAAAGAAAAGTTAAATGACTTAATGGGCTTCTTATTCGTTGAATCATTTGTGATCAACAGGCTTTCCAGGTTATAGAAAATGAAGATTTTTGCAAATTAATTTCAGCATTTGATTCATGATTTAAAGTGTCATCAAGACAGACAATTTCTGATTATATTTTACACATATATAAGCAAGAACTAGCACAATTATGTAGTTTTTTTCCAAACTTCAATTGTAAGGTTGCAATGACTGTTGATACTTGATCTGCTTGTACTAACCAGGCTTACCTTTCTATTACATTACATTGGATCAACAATAATTAGTGTATGCAATGTATTCTTTTCAATTTAGTTCCTTTACATGAACAGCATACTAGAATTTTTATTGCTGAAAATATAATAGAGCAAGTAGAGTATTTTGGGCTGGGTAAACAGTTGTTGTCTTTAACTATGGACAATGCTGCGAATATGGATGCATGTGGTTGTCATTTAGCAACCCTACTTGAATCACGTTATAATAATACAAATTTTTGTAAAATTAGATGTGCCTCTCATATATTGAATCTTGCTGTTAAAGAAGGAATTTCAGTTCTTGATAAGTCTATAAAAAAAGCTTGTAAATTTACTAGTCATATTCGCCACTCTCAGCCTAGCTTTTAAGAATTAAAAAGGGTGTTTATAATGAAAAATAAACAATTTCTTGTACCAGATCTGGATGTTGATACCAGATGGAATTCGACATATCTTATGCTCAACAAACTTTGTCGAATCCGAGAAATGACTGATATTTTGGTGGCTTCATTACCTGAGCTTAGAAACTTATATCTAACTGATAATAATTGGGAATAAATAAGTGTAAGGTTTTTTTTTTGAGTATTATATTATATGTAAATAATAACATATATATTTATATAAAATTCATCTTATAGTCGATCATGAAGCTTTTGGAACTGATATATAAAGCAACTAAACTTCTTTTTTCTTTAAACCACCTGACACTTGGGGACTTAAGAACAGTTTTTACATAATTATAGAAGTTCTGGATGATTCTCAGATTGAAGAAGATACGATTAAAGGTCAAATTGCAAAAAAAATTAGTAGAAAAATTGATTATTATTGGAATGAATTGCAAACATATTTTCATGAAGCAGTTCTTCTTGACCCATCAACCAAATTTACAACCTTTGAACATAGTACTCAGAGGGATGATGCATTACGCAAAATTTGATCAACATATCAAACTTATATACCAGCAAAAGAAAATACTATATCACAAACTGAAACTCAAACTGAAACAACATCTGCATGTGACTATTTTAGACGACAAATAAAGCAAATACATCATAGTAGTTTTACATTACATAATGATGTATTGGATGAATATCTTAATGCACCTGATGAAGATATAAATGTTCTTACTTATTGGAAGGTGAAATCTTCATATTTACATTGGATGCCTCTTGCTCGAATGGCACATGATTATTTGATCGTTCAAGTAACTAGTGTAACTAGTGAGCAGATTTTTTCAATTGCTAAACATATTATAAGTAAAACATAAAATCATATAGATGCAGAAAAAGCATGTGCAAGCCTTTGTCTTAAAATATGGTACGAAACAAAAATAATTAATAACTGGAATAGTGGTAGAAATCAGTTTTCTTAACAAGTTTTTTTAGTTGATAATTATGAAGCACTAACCAATTTTTTTGTATATTTTTGTTTTATAGACCCACAACTTTTTTTTTAAATAATTTTGGGTTATAAACACATTGATTTTTTTTTACTATTTTAGTTAGGTAATAAGCTTTGCATCTAGCTTGTTCTAATCAATATGGTTTGTTTTATTTTATCGCATGTATTTATTTAACAATTTTGCTAATTTGAAAATAATATCATTTAGTTTACCAAATATAATGTGATAATATCAATATTAATAAATTTGAATAAAAGAGTTATCATTGCTTGATAAATATATAATTAAATAACTTGTAATTAGCAAATCAACTTATTCATTTTTTACTAAGTGCTTATTTTGCTGTAAAGAATTTAAAACTGATGATTAAAGATGAAACAACATTAAGAACAACATTGGTTAATACATTGATCGATGTTTCTAAAGATTTTGTGACCAGATCTATAAAAGCTAAAGTAGCATAGTTAATAAATTATCATAAATCCATAATATATAGCACTGCAGAAGTTACAGCAAAATTATATGATTCTATTGTATAGCAAGTTATGATGCAATCTTAATTTGTTAGTGTGTACGTAGTTTTGTTAGTATGAAACTTTGAGATTTTGATTCATTTATTCAATTTCTGACTAATTAAAAATTTGTTACTAATCTATTGATTTAGGTGCTTGAGAACAACTTTCGTCTAACAACTATAAATCTAACATTTATTGTAACTAAGGGTGTTCTTAAGTAATTCTCTCAATATGATCTGATAGTGATGCTTAATTGCTACCATTGATTGAAATAATAATTGTGATTTTCATAACACAGCCGGGTCAAATTTAGGAACTTATAAAATAATTTTTTTATAATTTTTAATAACCAGATATATGAAAATTTTTTTTTTAAAAAAAAAATGACTAGCTGGGTCTATTTAAAAGCTTCATATTATAAAAACCAAGTAATTAAATTTATATGTTATAATATGAAAAGATTTTTAGAATTTAATCTAAATGGCATTTAAATGGCATTTAATTAGTACTTAATTAATACTAGTATGCTTATTTTAAACTAATTTAATTAATAATTATAACATATAGTCAATTAAATGAGCATAACTTTCAAATAAGACTTTGATGCGTTATATATACACATATCTTATATATTGCTTATGTAAATCAACGTGCCAAGATTGATAACTATTATTTATGATCATATAGAATAACATCTTTAAAACATTCTAACTCCTGTTCTAGCAGAGCAACTTTAATTCCGTAAAATGCAAATGGTGTACAAATAGTATGCTTTTAAAACTATGTTGCCATAATTGGAATTATTATGTAAGTTTTAGTAGTTTGCTATAACTTAATCATTTAAATAACTATTAAAATTTAATTATAGCCACATTAATGAAATGAAATGAAAAATGTCTTACCATAGTTTTAAAAGCGTATTATTTATCTATCATTTACAAATTACAGAATTGAAATTGCTTTACTGGAGCAGAAGTTAGAACATTTTAAAAATGCTCAATTTTTATTATAAAATTACTATGATAAATTTTTTCAATAAATTGATCGAACTATAATAGTAAATCATTTGGTATCTAATACCTCAAACTTAGGTTTATGAACTAGAGTTTGAACTTTAAAGTTAATCTCAAGTTCATACTTTAAGTTTATGAACTCAAGTTTAAACTTTAAAATTAAACTGAAGTTTATAAACTTCAGTTCAGTTTATTTTTTTCTTTGAACTTTATGGGACTGGACCAAAACTGAACTGAACGAACCACTTAACATCCCTACTCGAAACTGTCAAAACTTAAATTTAAGTTCGTTCTAACTATATACGATCAAGCTAATATACTAGCAGCTATTTTGTACATCAGTAATACTGAGACTTAATTTTAACATGAATATAATTGTAGTTCAAAATCAATTATAAATATGTCATTGATATAAATCTATCATAAATTAAGCTATCACAGTATTAATAAATGTGAAAGATTTTTTTATACAATAAGAAACTAAAAGCGGTTAGATAGCTAAAAATTAATCTTATTCTACAATCAAAGCTATTTAAAATATAATGTACCTTTATTTCTATATACAATATACATTTTTACTTCATTTAAATTAATTTATAAATATTTGTAGTCGTTTGTTGTATTTTTAAAAAGTTTAAATATTTTATTTAAAATATTTTAAAAACTAACATCACTACAGGTTATTACAGTATTAAATCCTTTGAAAATTGAAGACTTAGGGTTAGGTTAGGTAGGGTTTAGATTAGGTTGGTTAGATTATAGATAACATTTTGTACTAAAAACTTTTGCATAATGCATAAAGTTTAAGCATTTGTCATCAAGATTTTTTAGTTACTTGGGATTCTGTGATTTGATTGGTTGCATAGTTTCGGAGGTTTTGAATTTGGATTTTTTAAAAAAATCCGAAACTAGTTTCACATTAGACATTCTGAAACTAGTTTCGGATAGGTTTCATTTTGCTGCCCAACTCTAGGTTGTGAAATCGGGAGGTACGGCGAGTCAGTTGCTCCACAATCCAAAACTTCGTGTTACCTACGGTTGGCTTAGTCGAAAAGAGGCGTTTAGATTTGGTCGGTGGTTTGGGTCCGTAGGTAAGTATTTCTTCTTTACTTGTCTTGCGTTTTCCTTCTCTTGAACTTACTAACTCTATTCCTCAATTACCTCACTACGTCGGGTAATTGGACAACACGTATAACCACACTATCCTCAATCCTTCGGGATAGTGGAACGATACTACCACAGCTGATCCTGGTACTTTAGGATACAACAGCCGGATGGGAGGTAACAATACTACTGGATAAAACAGCTAATTACAAGAATCGGGTTTTATGGTCTGGGGACTTAGCGATTAGTTAATGTAGCAAGGGAGGCGTTTATGTATTTATTATTATGTAAGGGCCAGGTATTATTTTTAATAAAGCGAAGTACTTCCCTCCTCTCCCTTAGGGCCTTTTTGGCCTTTATTTATAAGAACCATTTACTATATACATTTTCACGGTCTATACTAACGTTGTCTACGATTATAGTGGTTACGACTACATTAATGTTCCCTCCATTACCGACTACGTTACTTATTTCGCCCTTTTCATCGGAAAGGACTTTTCCTACATTTCGGTCCTTTCTGACGATTCTGACTTTTCTAGCCGGGCCACCCTTATTTGGTTAGCCGTGTCACATGGCACGTGACTTAGCCGGATAACAGTTGGCATATTTATCGACAAGCTTCAATCAAATTGTAAAAACGAGTGCAATCCCATAATATTACATGTGTAAGTGGACCGCTGGAGCCCTCACAACTTTAAGTTCAGTCAGAGCTAAATTTGAATTTTATATTTTGACTATACAAAAAAAACTCAATTAAAAAAAAGAATCTAATTAAAAATGCGAAAGACATTGTAATATAAATCAAATGGTAATTCCTTTGATTAATAACAATTTTTTATTAATAGGGTTAGCTTAGCAATTTCAACTTAATTCGATATTAATCATTTACTAAGATATTATTGTTTTAGTAAACAATGCAACATAATTCAGAAGTACTAAAGCGGAATTTTATTGCAGTAATTTGATCATAAATATATTATATGGTCTTTTTTTTATTTAACCCTATTTGCTTGATCGCCGAGCGGCGACAGTATTCAGTCCTTCACCAGCCTCCTGACATTGAAGGACTTCTGTATTCGTAAGGCCTCTTCGCATTTTTAAGTTCTCCGGGCTGGGTATTACATATTTCCTTAAATGTCCGAATGTTATTGTCGCATCTGAAGTAGCGATTTATCTAAAGTAACTACTTTATATGTCTAAAGTAGCGCCCTGGCCAAAATTATAACTTAATATATGCATGTTGATCGAATTTCAAGGGCTTAATTTTAGCCAGAGGCTACTTTAGATAAATCGCTACTTTAGATACAACATTATTAACCGGAAGTATCTTTAGCAACCGGAATCTCACCGGTAGTATTCTGATGCAGGGAATCCTAAACTTTGTTCTTGATAACGCGTCACCTAACTATAGTTGATGTTTAAGAGGGATGGTGAATGACTGGTCATTTGATCGAAATTCAAATGACCTTAACAAATATGACATGGTCATTTGGATCATTAAGGTCATCCAGGTCATTTGCATATTAAATAATTCTATTGGTCAAATTGCTCATAAAAATTACCGAACCCTATTGCTTTCCTAATCGATGATTGTAGATTAAGTCATTTAGGGTTCAAAATGGTCCAATGGCCAATGATCTGTTATTTAGGTCAGTTTGGGTCATTTATCATTTCTACAATATAGAGGTTGATCAATTAAAACATAGCTTATGGTTTTATATAATAACTAGACCTACGAGAAATACAAAATTTTAAATAGAATTAATAAAATAGTATTATTATATCATTATGAATATAACTTACAGTTTCTATTATTTCAATTTTCTTATATTCTATTTTGCATTCTATTTTTTTTTTAATATTAAAGGTGAGGTCATGCCTCTATTTTTATTAAAATTCAGTTAATTTTTTACAAGTAAAATATACAGAAAAAATGTTATATTTAATTTTATATCTATAAGATATTAAGATTAGAAGCTCAGACAAGTTATCTGTAACCTAACTCTACCAGAATGGTCAAGGCTTATTTAGATTTCAGAGTTTGTAATTATAATAAAAGAGTTCATTTAATATTTGATCTATTTAGATACCATGTTTCAATTTTAGAACTGGAAATTGAGTGTAGTGCATGTTAAGTTAATATGTTTTGAAAAGTATAAGATGTTGAAATTGATTGAGATTATTTACTAGATTGAGCTTAGAAGTACAATATGATATTCAAATTTGAGTATAA